CCTCTGGTGCAAATTACTGACCTCTGTCATCATTTTAAGTGGGGGAACTTGCACAATCGGTGGCTGACTAAATACTTTTTTGCCCCACTGTAGTCTGCAATAGGCAAACGTCTACTATCCCAGGTTTGTTTATGTTTTGCACTTTTACAGATTACATAATATAACATTTTGGTTTAAATCAATTCCTACAAGTTTGTTAAGTTAACATGTTATTTATTTCAACTGTTAATTGGTTTAGTTAGAACTAAGCTTACCTACCTGTCTTCCAGAAACAAAAGGAGGAAAGTAGTTTTACTTCCTGCTTTATAGCTTCTGGGTTCATCTGAGGTCGCAGGAAGAGACCAAGCGCAGAAGGGGGAAAACTCTTGTAATTTAAGAAAGTTGATTTTAGAGGGTTTATGGAGAAATAGATTTATTGTCATACGTATTTATTACACCAGAGTTTATGTTGCTAGTAAAGAGTGGCAGTAGAGGTTTGAACATAATCGTTTTTATCTTATCTACCTACTGAATGGAATAGTCCAGTGGAGAAATTGTTTGGTTAAGTGGATTATTTGGGGCGATCGTGGCTGAAGAGTTGGGTGTTCGTCTTGTAATCGGAAGGTTGCTAGTTCGAGCCACGGCTCGGACAGTCTCGGTCGTTGTGTCCATGGGCAAGACACTTCATCTGTCGCCTACTGGTGTTGGACAGAGGGGCCGATGGCGCGATATGGCAGCCTCGCCTCTGTCAGTCTACCCCAGGGCAGCTGTGGCTACAACTGTAGCTGCCTTCACTGGTGTATGAATGTGAGAGTGAATGAATAGTGGTATTGTAAAGCTTTGAGGGGTCCCGAAAAGCACTATATAAATGCAATCCATTATTATTATTTAAGCAGAACTCAGGTGTTTGAGGAGAAAGGACCAGGTCAGTGTAGCTGTGTGCAGTTTGACCTTAATTTTCATTGATTTAAGTTCAGTTATGTTTATTTGAACTGAGTTAATTTGGAGTTGAGTTTCTTATTTGTTTCTTTGTAAATATTGTTTGGGTCACAAAACGGTGACAGCATCAGTCTCCTGTATTTCTTTGGCTGCTTGAGTCAAGTCCTACTACACTGATGAGGACTTTTATCTATCATTCCAAAAACACAAACCACTGCTTCCCTCTCTTTGCACCTTACATTGTTTATAAGCTACACTTGGTAAGCATGGAAGTATTTCACTAAACACACGAGGAAGCTTAGCTTGATAAAAAAAAAAATCTACAGGTGTAGAGCTCTAGGCACCTGTAGAGTCTTTGTATAGCAGAAAATAAATGCTAAATTGCATTAAAACTCTCAATGAAAGTGTGATAAATGTTTGTAGTACAGAGTGTGTACACGACAGGGAAGCCCAGCCCAGTATGCACTCTTACTGTCGATCTCAAACCCAGATACATGGGCTGGGCTTTGTCAGGAAGGAAATGTGTCAGGAAGCAACTGCAAAACATGGAGGTCATTAAAAAAGAATGTTAGGAGGCAGCAGGAGAGCAGGAAAGGCAGGATTGTGCTGATGAGAGCAGTCACTGTAA